TTAACCTTTTTTGGGAATATGAAATTTAGTTTACGAAAAGACTGTTTTGGAGATCTGGAGATTTTTCGAGATAAAAAGGAATTTTTGAAATTTCCAGCCAGACGCGTTCATTTTCAGCGGCTCCCGGACTTTGATGGTGAGGGCTGCTATCGTGGCGGGCTGCTATCCGGGTGTCGGTTACGTCCGTATCGGCAACCGCCTGAAGAAGATACGCACTACCGTCGATCAGAGATTGCGGCCTGCATAATCGTCGTGCATTCGACGTCAGGTATGCAACAGTTTTCCGCTCTGCTTCATATTTTTAATTGGAAAAATTGATTTTGTTAATTGATTAAAATCTCATTTTTAAAATTTGAAAATTTGAAAATTTGTGTTCTAGTACCGGTCCGATAGGAACATCTAAACCATCTTAAAGCTTTTACAAAAAGTTTAAATATAAGAAACTCATAAAATTGGCTAACAGTCCAGTCCAGTTTTTTGACGAACTATCTTAGTGACTGTCTCTTTTTCTGTAGAAGTTGACTGAATCGGAACACGGACAATCAGCGCAACAGCGAACCCAGGGAAGAGCCCCATCGAATACGTCGTCTTTATGAGCTCTCCCGCATGGAGGGACAATCATTGACGGTGAGAAATGAAGATTCAAATATATCATTTTGTATTGATGCGAACGGTGACTGTCCGTGCCGCCACTGCCGCCATGCTGCTCTTCTCTGGAACAATGCGCCTGAAAAGGTCCAAGTTTGACTATTTCAAAATTCGTTGCGCTTTTCTTTGGGTGCGTTTGCATTTATCGGGAGGCTGGATCTTTTCTTTAATGTCGAATGGGTCTGATGTGAAAAAGCGGTATTCAGCCGTTAGCCGTAAAAGATAGATTGTTCTAAAAAACATTCTTGTGCATTCTTGGACCTGAAGAAACTCAACTTCCCCTATAATGCCAAAGAACCCGCGTCATAATTAATCACCCAGACGCCGAGCATGACGTCGAGGAACTGGGCAGTGATGAGGAACAAGAGGCGGCAATCTACCCGGCGCTGTCCATCCGTGAGGCTCGACGATTGGTTCGGGGCAAAGGCGGGCAGGCGAGCGTGAGCTTTGGTGTTTTGTTGACGTACCTGGGCGTTCGGTGACCTCCGGCACGTCGTTCAACTTCGATTCCGGACATGGATTACTTCCTGAAGGTGATGGAACAGCCGAAGCTGCTCTACACTCGTAAATACGATGTAAGAAAAATATAGAGCAATATGTAAATTTTGGACTTTTTGGCAACCAGATAAAATTAACAATAAAAAGGCCAGAGAAGATTTTTCAATACCATTCTGAATTTTTTATATATTTTTTTGTTTTCAGGACTTGTTGAAGACGATCCGGACGTGCCTGGAGGTCGACCACGAAAGCTGCTCAACACTTCAACCCGTACGTATTTTGCTTCGTCAAAGACGTTTTGTTTAGGGTTTCGTCACTGCCTGCTCTGGAAGGTGAATGAACAAGAGCGAGCGCAAAACTTGCTGCCTGATCTGGAGCAGGTACTATTTTTTAGATTTCTGGAAATCAGCTTCCGTACGAGAAACACGCAGTCGTCGCACTCCTCAATCAAGCCTCCTGGGAGGTGCCTTTTCTACAGCTCCCAAACTTGGTTTTAAAGGGACCAATGACGGCAAGGAGTGGATGGACTACGTACGCTGAAAGAAGTAGCCCTTGCGCGCCTCTCCCCTCGGCGCGCCTCTGCCTTGTTGGCTATTTGCCAGAAAAAAAAAATTCTAAACCCCCCTGTGTGCAAGGAAGTTCAACTAGATGCCGTCCTTATCTCCTAAGTTAAACAAAGCTTTATAACGGGAAAACAAAGCACTTACAAATAAACCTTCCATTTAGAATCCGAAGACGACCGTGGAGAAGGTGTTCGCTCAGCAGCGACGAGCGCAGCAAGAAGAAGTCAAGGCCAAGCGAGTCGTGCAGCCGGAGCGCCGCGTGAAGCCCATCCGCCACCGACGCGCCAGCAGATCTTCTTCGAAACGGATAGCCGTGACCGCGACCCGCCAAGATCCTATCGTGGTACGTTTATTACTTTCTAGAAATATTATTAAATAACCGGGGTTGAAAAGCCGCTTCGCGACTTTTCAACCCTGGTCCCGTCTGATCCCATGATATTCTGCGATTTGCATAATTCTCACGATTTTCGATGACAAAAAATGAGAAACGCTACCTCTCTTCCCTTTATATAGGCTACCACAACTTCCGGCGTATGCTGACTTTATCCTAACAAAGTGGGTGGCCGAATTTTTACGAAAAACTTAAAGGGGCTCCGAAATCTGGTCCACGCCCCCCTGCTGTGATTCCTGGCAAATAGCCAGATGTGGCCGCAACGCGACCGCGCCGCATTATCTTTTGCCTCTGTTTGGACGCGAAAACGCTTGAATTTCAAAATTCTGATACTATTTTTGGAATCCTCACCGAATTTTGATCATTCCAGACTTTTAAATGATGACAATTTACCAGAGAATGACCGAGATCGAGAGATTGGGTGCCTTACGAAGCATTACGACATGTAATCGCCGCCCACTCAAAATGTCGTTTTCGCCCCAAAAAGAATTCGGTTTTTCTCAAACATTTTACGTTTTTTCGCAATCAAATCACTTTTTTGGCACTTTTCAGCAGTGACCCCTTCGTTTTTTGACCCGTAGGTTCAATCCCCGCACGCACGAATTTTGACTTCTGAGCCCCTTTAATTTTAACGTCGAAAACAGCTAATTTTTGAAAATTTTGTTGGTGTGCAGTCATCCCAAGGCCATTACGCACCTAATGACGTATCATACATACTCCCTAGCTACTCCTAATTGAGATAGTACTGGAACTACGCTGACAGATTGCAATACAAATTACACACACACACACACACACACACACACACACACACACACACACACACACACACACACACACACACACACACACACACACACACACACACACACACACACACACACACACACACACACACACACACACACACACACACACACACACACACACACACACACACACACACACACACACACACACACACACACACACACACACACACACACACACACACACACACACACACACACACACACAACCTTATTACATACATATTACCACACATTAATACACACATACATATAATTATTAATACATAGTAATATACACACACATATACATACATACACACACACATTATTACACATACACACTATTATTAATAATATTACAATATTATTATTAATATTATTATTACATACATATTATTAATAATAATATTATTATTATTATTATTATTATTATTATTATTATTAATATTATATATTAATATTAATATTATTATTATTATTATTATTATTATTATTATTATTATTATATTATTATTATTATTATATTATATTATTATTATTTTAATTTTTTTTTTTTTTTTTTTTTTTTTTTTTTTTTTTTTTATTATTATTATTATTATAGACACTATTTTTTTATATATATTAGGATATAGCTATAGATAGATAAATAAATGGTGTATTTCGAATGTCCTTCAGTTGGTTTTGGATGCTAACGAAAGGTTTAAAAAATTAATTTTGATTAAAATTTGAAATGTGAGCATTTGGCCATTTTTCATACATTTTCTTAACTTTCTAACTCCTTTTTTATATCTAAACAATTGTATAAAGTTTTCTAAAAATGGGTGTTTAGTTATAGCGCCATACGGAATTACTGAGGGTTAAAATCGGTCCTCCCACCCCAATTGCTAAACCAAAAACTTTTTTAGAATCCCCGCGGGCCCCGTATCGACCTCGTGATACGCCGCAAGAACAGCCACCGCCGCCAGTCTCGCACGATGACAACGATGCGCACCGCGGCCCGTCGCTTCGCGGCACTTCGGGACCCCGCGGAATGCGAGGCACCTTCCGGGGCCGTTCAAATGATGTGCGCAACGATGGCGCCAAGCCCTACTACCATCAGTACGACAAATATTCCAAGAGGTTCGCTCGTTTCCAAATTCTACTAAAATTCTACTAACAATGCAAAAACAAGGGGGATCGACACATGCCGTCGGCAGCACTTTAACTTTTTTAATCCGCGTTTGAAAGCCATTTCGGAACAAGCGCAAAATTTTGCACAAAGCTAGGCTTGGACCACTCCCGGAACTCCGTGGACACTCAAAAAGGTCTCCTTGCAAGGCTAGTTTTTCCTAATTTTGGGTTGTGTTGCAGGAATTCGGGCGGCGCGCAACAGGACAACGCCGTTTCCGGCAATTCGCAGGGCAACAGGTATGAAGGCTTTTTTTGTTGTTGCGTAAAATGCTCCTCTTTTAGTCGAGCCCACTATTCGAACAACCATCGCCGCCACGAGCGTCACAAGGATTATGAGGTATGTTTCATTTGTGGCTTAGTTTTGCCAATTTGCTAAGAAAACTCTTATCTTTTTTCATTTAGGGCTTTACGCATACTGAAAATCTCCCATTTTTGAGATTTATCTTTATCTTATTTTATATGGTTTTTAGACATAAAACTCATCAAATGATTATAAAAATTTCGAAAATTTTTTTGACTTTGTCAAAAACGTATGAATTGGCCAAAAAGGCGGAAATGTTCGAAGTTTCAACATTTCAGGGATGTTTCTAACTCGAAAAGTACTAGAGACGCTAGAAAAATAAATTATAAATTATCAGCAGGTACAGGCGGAAAAACAAGAATTGGTTTTCCCCCTGCTAACCGAAGAACGAGCCGGATTCTTCTTTTATCTTACCTTATCAAAATATTGCCGATTTCAGGAGCAACATCCACAAGATCCGCCCCAGAGCTCTTCCGACCGGAATTGGCGTCAGAATCACGGCTACGACAACTGCACGCCACTCCCAGAGTATGAACATCGATTTAATCACGAATAGTAATACCTTGTCTAGGACCAACGTGTGCTACAGCCGCAGCCGCGAAGAGGAGGTGCTCCCCCACAGCCCGGAGGCCGGTGACCGCGACGATGATGAGAGCCGGAGTCATCCCCCCCACCGCCCGTTCAGAATGCCGAGGGCGGTGGCCGCAACAACTACGAGCGCCGCGGCCACAACAACTTCAACAGGGGCAACAAGGAGGGCGGCGGCCATGTCCGCGAGTTCCGCAACAGCAAACGCGGTTCGTTTTGGCTTACTTTAGTTTTTAAGATTTAAAAAGGCAATCGGCTATTTTGCAAAATTGGGGGTGGGGACAATTTTTTCGTTGGGGTCCCATGTTTTATAATATAAATAGAGAAACTGTTACTACAGTTAAAAACTTAAATAGATACACTTTTTCCACAGTTTTCCTAGTTTACTATTCCTATGGTAAAATCCCATCGTTTTATTAAAAAACCGATTTGCCGATCAGATTTTGACATTTTTAACCTTTTACCAAGTGTCGGTTCTTTTTCGCATCTTCACCCAATTTTTTTGTATTAGTCTAAAAATCCTAGTAAAATAAAAGTAAATAATTGTTAGTGTTGTAGCAAAATATATCTACATTTTAGCTAGAAACACTATCTAAGGAAATTTTTTATTCTTAACTCGAAATTTTGGTCAAAAATCGCTGATTTTTAGAAAGAGAAAAGGCCAGAAAATCTTTTTTTTGGTCTATTTTTAATCAAATCAAATTTGGAAAGGTTTTACGTTTAGGAATAGTAACAACAGTACACTTCCGCGAATTATATTTGCAAAATTGGGTCCTAAAAAGATGGCCTCCCCCCCGATAATGTAATAGAACAAATCTTAAGTTTCTATTTAATTTACAAATTTATAAGAAACACTTGTATTTTATAAAATATTTTCCT